AGAAGCAAAGAATTGTTATTAGAAAATAATACGAGAGTACTGTTCAGTATTTCATAAAATTTACCGAACGCTTTTTGAATTTAAATTTTAAAATCAAACTAGTACAATGTCAAAAATATCAATGTACTGTTGTTTCATCTTTGCAAAATGGCAGACAAGATTATTTTCCCCTTATGTATTTCATTTTCTTAATTTCTAGTTGCCTTCTGTTTGTTTTTCGTTATTTTTGGGCAATTGAACATGTTTTCTCAGCCATTGATACGTAAATTATATAAAATCAGTCAGCAATTGTTCAATACTATTCAAACAAGATCACACGCATAACCAATCATATTCTATTTTTTCTAACCTAAATCTAATTTTTGAAAACTAAGCACTATTTATATATGTGTATTTTGTTATTCTTGTAAAATATGTTCATGTAACGTTTCGCATTAAGGAAGAACCGTTGCAAATGTTGAGAGAACTTGTGGGTCCACCCTTTTGCCAGATGTGTTATACCATTGTATTATAACTGTGTTAACATGTATGTATATGTGCCTTTTTCAGAAAAATATGTTTGAATAGTTATGTACGTGTAGTATATGTAAGTTTTTAGCACAGGGAACAATAAAAATAACTCTTAGAAATGCTTAACTTAGGGTAAATAGGTTTGGCAGTATTATGTCTATGGCTGTATAAAACATTTTATATTCCAGACAATTGACAATAGTATACGATTAGCAGTTACATATATGTATAATATCATAAACCGTTATGGCTAATTTACTTTAGACTGTTAACAAGTTTTTATTATATACTTTATGATAGAAATTAACTTAAAATTCTTCCAAGGACACCTGGTATGTAAAGGGCAAAACTAGTATACATATGAACATTATGTCATGCCAGGGTTGTCTCCCTTCAAATAAACTGCATGAATGAAATACAAGATTTCGTTAAATATCTATTATTTCATTAAAACAATAGCTAGAACTGAAATATAATTTGTTTACCAACAAAATTATACGACTGTGTCACATCACCTGACATTTGATTTATGAAAATGTAACAGAGTTATTATGTCTGCATGATGCAAATTACAAGAATGATAATACTCAAAGCGTAATGATCAAAGACATCGTGAGCTATAATAAAACTTAACAGGAGCTTTAGAACGTACATTGATGAGCTAGATCTTGCAGGATCACTAGGACCTGTAAATAACAAATTTAATATAAAATTCGCAATTTAATCAAAGTACATTGACATAGATTCGTTAGTGTTTTTGCATGTAGGAATTAAAATTTTGGAAGGCAAATGTACCTTATTACTTTATCTATGTCAAACTCACTCATTTCAGGTAAAAAATAAAAGGTATTGATCACTTGAAACTGTAATTATAAAATCATTTATCTTGCCATCATCAAATCTGAGAAAAATGATCCAGGAACCTTAAAATTTATGTACAGATGCACATTAATAAGTCCTACTCGACATATTTATTTTGGTTCAAAGCCTAAGGGGCAAAGGACTTTACTTATATCATTTCAATTCAGTTACTTAGACTCTGTATGTGGAGGAGTCTTTATGAGTTTATCAGGAACGCCACTTTTCAGAAATTTATGTTCAATGTTATAGAGACTTTTAAACTAAATATTGTCCGCCACTGAGGAAAATGGAACGCGCACCTACCCAGACAGCTTTTGCTAAAAGCGTAGACCTGGGTGCTGCAGTATTCCTCATTTTTTCCAAAGGTATGAACTATTTGCATAAAAACCACAACATTATTGTAAATGCAAAAAATATGGAAGGCTGCTTGAAAATTGTCTCAATAAAAATTAGTTAATATGCTGGAAGGTGAAATTATGTTTTCGTTTTTCATTCCTCCCAAAAAACGTCACATTTTATTCAAATGATTCAAAGTTAAAAAAACTACCCAGTTAATGACTTCTTACTGCTTTACTAAACGGGGTTTTATGATGCCTACATGATCTATAAAGGTCATATTATGACTTCTTCTGGGGCCTTTTCGTGTTAATGGGCACATAGGAAGAACAACTTTCCGTGTAGCCAGCTGGATTTAATCCTCATCCAAAATTTAGGCTTACAAGTTAAATACAAAATTGAATGTTTAAAGACTATTTTGCATGTATAAAAGATAATATGTTTAAATATCCTTATTGACGGACATTAAAGGAGTTATTAGGACAGGCGGAGTGAAGTACAAACATTCCGACACAGACTGATCAGAAAGTATTGGGGAAGGCAGTATGAAGTACAAACAGAAAGAAAAACAGACACAGAGTGATCACAAAGTTTTCATTTGAGTTCTTAATTGAATAGAATGGAAATTAATTAAATCAGCAAAATTTGTCCACGGCTCATGCTGATTGGGCTGCCGCAAAATACTAATGGCTTAACACAAAATATACAACAACAAACAGTAGTTATACATGTGGAAAAGAACGAGCCCAATCCTGGGTAACAGTAATCGGGCTCTTAATGTTATTTGCAGAACTGCATAACTACTAGTACTTTGCTGACTGCAACATGTCAGCTATTGATCACAACAAAGAAACAGTTTTTTTGTCAGACAATAATTACACTTGCAAGTAACTATTTCGAGCTGTGACGCTCCAGCTGTACTTTATTTCATCTGTATCTCCTGCACAGAACCTGAAAATATATACAGACACCACGACAGCACCAGAATCTACACACAGCAACATGATACGAAAGGGCTAACATTTAATGTAAATTGCTTTTCTTTTATTTTAAATGGCTATAAACCACTAAATTAAGTATTTACCTGCCTCCCAATACCGCACCTATCAAGTTCAGAGAATTGATCATTATTTCGTATCAAATATTTTTTTCCGATTTTTTAACTTTAAAAATTGCATAAAAACTTAAGGATGTGCCAGTTATAGTTAGAAGGAAATATATGAAAGACACAAGAAGGTTGACTAAGCAAAGTTATAAATGGTTACTAAAGTAATTAACCGTAGTATATATGTTACGCGATGAAAGTGATGCTCTTATATTGGGAAATGTGTGATTGTTCGTGACTAATAAATATTTAGAGTTATGTACAGTAATCGGAAAGTAGGTTTCAATTCCGGGTGAAACAAGATACTCGTTTAATCAAACCGAAACTGTCGTTTTAATTAACTAATTGAAATGTTATATATATTATATATTATATTCAAATATTTACAACTATTTCTTTTCATCTGTAGAATGAATACATGTAAAAGAGCGTTAATGTACTCTTTTTGTGCATTAGCATCTACAGAAACACAAGGAGTCTTTAAAAGCCTAAGGATTAACAAGGTCATGCAGATGTTGAAAACAATACAAATGACGCAGATTAAACTATTTATTGTAATGAACAGCTATATTTAGATATATTACTCAGTTAACATAAATGAAACAAATGCGTTTCAGTTGAGAACAATATCAAAATTTAAGGCTCATTGAAAACGTTATAATCAGCCATAGATATTATTTATTGTAACACTCTTCACATAATTCTCGGATCAAACAGATCAGATAATCAATTGTATTGTTTTGCAAAAGTCGAAAACCATATGACGTCAGGAAAACCTCTTCTAGGCTCAATGTACTTTTTGTATTTATGATTGAAGGGCAATTAATCTTGTTGGCTTGCATGATAATCTGCACACAGTTCTTCGTAACTTTCTCTTTCCAAGATTTGTTTGTAAGCGTTTTAATCAACTATTATCTAACATTATTTTAGCATACTTTTATGTGTTTTAAGAAGTAAGTTCGTTCCTTCGTGTGTTAGCTACAAATTGATACATTGTTTGTAAAAACAATTTAGTGCTGGAGAGGTAAATAAAAACGGTTTTATATAATTGTAGAATGGGCGACATGATTGTACTATTTAGATATGATGTTAATAATAGGCATGTTATATTTGTTATACTAGGACGTTATGATGTGATGAACTTCTAATAATTTAACTTTTGCATTTTCGCCCTTTCTACCTTCCAAGAAACTTTAATGTGTTACAGGGAGAAACAAATGCATTTTGATAATTAATATAAACTTTATCACATAGGCGTTGTTGTGAAATATGCTTATTCAAAAATGTGTAAATTCTGAAATATTTTCGAAAGGCATGTGAAAAAACAGCAAAAAATACAGCCCATAAAAACTATGTTTTATCCGGAATCGTTGCTATGTTATAATATTTCATTAAGAATGTATTCAAACATAGTACATTAAAGTCTGAAGAAAAAAAAACAAAAAACAAAAAACAAAACAAAAGAAAACACACACACAAAGCGAAAAAGACCACTGGGTTATTACGAAAGACCCGTAGGGCAATTTCAACTTCATGAAATCTCGATTTCACATGAAATCTTGATTTCATCTTCATGATTTCACAATATTAACTTCCCGAATTCCCGTTTTCAACATACGGAATTCACGAATTCACAATTTCAGCTTCATGAATTCCCGATTTCACTTTCATGAACTCACGATTTCAATTAATGAATTCACGATTTAGACTTCACGAATTCACTTTCGTGAATTCACGATTTCAACTTCACAAATTCACGATTTCATCTTCACGAAATCACAATTACAACTTCATGAATTCACGAATTCACCTTCATGAATTCACGATTTAAATTTCACGAACTCACGATTACAACTTTCTGAATTCAAGTTCGTAATTTCACGATTTCAATTTCACGAATTCATGGTTTTAATTTCACGAATTCACGATTTCAATTTCATGAAGTTTAATTCGTGAATTTGTAAAGTTGAAATCGTAAATTCATGAAGTTGAAATCGTGAATTCGTAAAGTTAAAATCGTGAATTCGTAAAGCTGAAATCGTGAATTCGTGAAGTTGAAATAGTGAATTCATGAAGTTGAATTCGTGAAGTTGAAATCGTGAATTCATAAAGTTGAAATCGTGAATTCATGAAGTTGACATCGTGAATTCGTGAAGTTGAAATCGTGAACTCGTGAAGATGAAATCGGGAATTCATGAAGATGAAATCGGGAATTCATGAAGTCGAAATGTCCAAACCGGGCTTTCGTATATTATAGATACTACTTACAAACCCATGAAAGAAATAACAATCAAGTGGATACATGTAATTACACGAGGTCATCTACAGCATAAAAAACGGAAGATATGTCGTTAATACAACAAATCATGTCAGGAAAACCTCTGAGCGCAATGAAGTTCACCAAAATATTATTTTTATCAATTCCCTTTTTATAAACATGTTAAAATGTATAAGGTGTTATTTTATCTTATATTATAGTTTATTGATACAAGATTAATCGTTCAATTGCTTTGGAAGGCATGTTGGCATTCATGATTATATTCATGCACATTTAAATTTGAACCGTGCATTATTTATAACAATGCACTTAAAATTGATATATTATATCTATTTCCTAAGTAAACACCGATTATGTACTCTGGAATTACTGTCCAATTGAATGTTACGAATCTATAGTTTTATGATGAACACTCATTGTTATTCTTGAATCAACATAAATTAAGCAATGGCCGTCCTGTTGATAATAAATAAAACTAATGAAGTTTAATTAACTTGCAAAGATCGATATAATTATTAGGTGTTTTGAATTATTTTGTCCAATAGAATTACAGTATGAATGAATCCTTACACATTTACATTAGTAAATGAGCTTAATTTAATCGGTCTAGTAAATCGACAGTTTTATAAAAAGAATTTCAAACACTAAATGTGTTAGTGTATATTTGTAAGCATTTACTACATTTTATTGGTCTTAAATAAGTCTTGACCAATTTTATTTTGTTTGTAAAGGCTAATAAACACAAACATATACATTTTAATACATTCATGTCATTTATTGATTTGAAACTTCACATTTTGAAGAGCATTTATGACAATGTAAAAGTCGTCATTAAAATTCGTCTGTCTTGAAAATAAAGTAAGAATAAGTAACACAAACACTAGATTTGTATGAAGGCGTTAGAGTGAAAACATTTCCGGCATCCAAGAGGATTATCAAATATGTGACGTTATAAATCACAACCAATCACATTAAAACGCACGATCTTTTGTCCATGGTGATCTGCGGGATACAACTTTAAGTATCTCGCTTCCACAGGCGTCTGAAACACATTGAATACTATCTCATTTCCGGCGTCCGGAATCACATTAGCTTCAAATCGCTGAAACGAAACAAAATATATCTTTTTAAATTAATATTGCAAGATTGATAAGGGTTTCGGTCACCTGAGATCAACTGCTAGTAAATGTCATAATATCAATTATGGAGTAAGGCATCGAGTCATATTGGGTTTGGGACCATTGTGTCAACCAGGCAAAGGTTAAGTCTATTAAAGGGGCTCCACTAAGGTATTTGACACGAAGGGCAGGTAATATATTCTTAAAATCAATATTACATGTGATGTAGGAGGTCTAGTTCAATAACTTGTGTGCAACATCTCAGATTTATCTCTTCTAGAATGGCTTGTGTTTATTTTAATAAATGACCCAAAATTGAAAAGGTGTCAACGCTTTTCACTCTTATCGAGCTAAAAATAACATAAAAATGTGATTTTCAATCATTTGTTGAGTAAATATCTACATTATCTTTTGCATATCTTTCTGTTTAAAGTTCCCCGGCTGATCTATGTAAGAAATTGAAATTTTGTGTTTCAGGGGAATTGACCTCAATGGAGTTGTTAAAATTTTTCATTAATCATGTGTTACCATATCCAGCATTTTGTCTGAATAATTTAACTGTCAAAATCAATAAAACTAATTTTCACACCTCTTTTAATAAGGCAAACCTGAATCCCTAAAGAACGATCAAAAACGACAAAACTGATTTTTTTGCAGGCTCGGTTTGATATTGCGCTGTACAATAAAATATATAATTTGTACAAAACCATGATATTTCACCACACCTTCTTCAAGTGAAATGTATAATTAATCATAACTTTTCGATCAAGATTGATCGTTATCAATCAATTTATACATGTACCTCTTACAGTTATCATAGATTGATCGATTACTGATTGTTAATAGCATTGAATCCATTACTTTTTATGTAAACTAATCCATATATGTTGTCAATAGAAACCTGATTAATAAAACTTTAATCGAGATCAAACTTGCAATATAAACTACAATGTATCTAGGCTCTAAGCCATGCATTCTCACACAGGGATATTTTAATGTATTTAAATATAAGTATGTTAAGTTAGTAACTTCGAGTATAGAGTGGGGCCTGTAATTGATGCATACGACACCAAAATTGAAATGGCCATTTCATCACGTCTTAACAAATTAACTAAGTTCGAATAATTTCTCTCCTTTCCCAGCCTTTTTGCTCCCTCTCATTTTTGGATCGGTGCCTTCTGAGTACCATACGAACGTGGCTGGATTGTGTCAGGGACTGAGTTCGGTATACGTCGCCCTTGTTAAGTCCATCTTTTATTGATAAAATATACGCAAAATACTAACAACTTCAAAAGAACATGAATCATCTCCGTCTGTTGGTGATCATTACCATTGATGGGGAGTAGTCATCAACAAAACAAATAGTTGCTTTAGGTGACATACCATACAATGACTGATGCTCTTCGGGAAGAATAGCGTTAACATGACATTGTAACCACCAGTCTTGAATTACTGAAACAACTACGAATCCAAATCAGTCTTCTGATTTCCCTAATCTGTTTAAAATGATGGCACACGTGTCGGTAAAAGAAATGAAGGAATAACACTTCTATTCCTCGACAGATGTATATGTAAATATATCTTTATCAAAATGAAATGGTATAAACCATTTCGCATCCTTTGATTTTTTTACATATATCAGGAAAGGGTAGACTTCAAAACAAATATTGAACCATATTAATCAAACGATACTTACTGCTTTTTTGTCCGCCCAGAACCATTTTTTGTAGTCAGTACTATAATATATATAGAAATATGTCACCCTTTCATCACAACAAGAGTCAACAGTTTCATTTCGCCACCTTCCTTGGGTGGCAAATCCTCGAACTCTGGACAATTTTGATAATTCAGTCTGTAAAAAATGTACATACTATAAACAAATACAAGAAGCATTTAAGCACAATTTATTAGTATGAAACTAAGTATTAACTGTTATTTTATACCTAATGTCGTAAAAGGGTTTATCATCCGAGCTTTTAAAGTGTGTGTGTAATGATGGTGAAATAGAACTTATTAAAGTACATTTGTAGCTTGATGTAGCTTGTTATTTCAATGGTGTTTGAGGAGTAAATCATTTTGAACAAAACAATAATCGCCAATCTTAAGTACAATTCTTAATGTCTACTAAAAAAGTGGAGAATGAATTAATAAAAGTCATCAATTCTTGACAGAAAGATCAACGTGTTTCATGTCAGCTTCATGTTATAATCTATGTAAACATACGAATGGAGAAAATGATGAAGCAAAATGAACCAAGTTATACTAAACACAATTGCTCTGAAATCTATGGTGAATAATCTGAATAAAAATGTCAATGTTATTACATTTTTACAAATTTTTTAGAACATGCAAGCAATATCGTTTAAATTTGTAACACAGACTAACTACTGATATCTAAATATTTGTAAAGTAAGCAAAATCGTTTATATTTGTAACTTAGATTGACTTACATATTTATATTTGCCCGTCACGTTAAAACCACCAATGTCATCGTTATCACTCGGAACAAAATTCAGCCGAGCCGGGACTTTCTTGTTACCCAATAAATATTGGCTGCAACCGCCAAGGTCTTGAGGGGAACAAAATAAAAATCATCATGAATATTATTCTTTTTGTTTTGGTAAAATCTAAATTTGTCAGTCGACAAATATTAATATTTTCCTTATCTTCTTAGTCTCTCCAGCTTCGTAATTCTCTTCCAGTCTGAAGTTATCTATTTCATATATTGTTTATTCTGAGCATCTGTCTTCGATAATAACCAAGATTACTTTGAGAGATTTGTAAAATATTAAATATGTTTTTGATGCAATAACAATGTTTAAACTAAACATAAGGGGTAACAGTATTATGACTATAGTTACGAGTATTTAGAATATATTTGACAACTTTCAATATGTAAAAGTTACCTTTAGTTTTCTTATATGCTTTCCAGCTATTCCAATCCAAGTCGGCACAATTTTCCTCTTTTTCAGTAGCGTTGATCAAGTAACATTCATCACTTGCTTCCTTGTGATACAATCCTATACATCTGAAATGCGTTAACTTTTTTCTGGGAATATGATTCAAAATGATATAAAATTCTATACAATATTCTTTTATTTAGTAAACGTTAGAGTTGTAAGAGATATAATACTTCTTTCGGTTTGTGTCTTACCGACCGAATGCATAATGCATCATTAAGATTTGAAATGAATAATTATGTTTTCTTAGGTGTTTGAGGACGTTTAATGTTTAATGTGTTTGATTGGAATTTCACCAATAGCTCATGACCAGACCATAAACATTTTATGTTATTTTTGTTAAACTTCATTAAAATGATGTGCTTACAACGTGGCCACGTCAATTTATCTTTCTTTATTTTCTGTTTTGATCAGATACTAAATTGAGAACTTGTGAGCATAAATATTATTCAATTTTGAATTTAAGGCAATAACTTCATTAAGAAGACTTTGTGATTATAGTTTAACTTTTAGTGTTTGTTAAATACGTCATTGATAAATTGTGAATAGAAAATAAATATTCTTTATTATCAGCGTTTGATAAAATCTTTTCAAATAACTTGTATATATTCCTTCATATTTTTAACGCTTCATTGATTAATCATTATATTTTTCCATCTTGACTTAAGGTATTACGACCCTAATGTACATTATAAGGAACTAAAAAATTGACATCATAGGTCAGATATGTACCTTAAAGTACATCTGTATGCAAAATTGAAACAAAGTTTACCGTACGGAAATCAAGTTATGGCCACTTTTCTGAAGTCAAGCTAGGATGCTATGAGGGCCCTTTTTGTTAGAAATGAGGAACCTTTAAATAATCTGCAATAACATTCTAATGAAAAATGTTTTCCCATTAATTTTTGGTAAGAAACAAATAGTACCAGTTAACAATCCACATAAGCAAAATTATGGTTTCTACTTTAAATTTATGAAAACTGTATAAAAATGTTACCCTACCCCACCCATTTTTACCACGTGTCTGACTATTTTCCTACTTAGGGAGGTTAATTAAAAAAAATCCTTAAAATTTACCCAAATGAATGCCTGTTTTCAAAGTTGCCCGAATTTTTTAAAGATATTGTAAACTATGAAATACGTTTACCGACTAGTTTTGATTTTTTTATTACACTTTGAAAATATCAGGTACCATATTTATTACTAGATTTAGCAAAATTTAGTCAATTAATATCTCTATAAATTAAAAAATCAAAATTAAACATTTTTATTCTTTCTAAATGGGACATGAGAGATATATAAATAATGTTAAAAGAAAAAAAAAAAGAAAAAAAAATTACCCTTCTTGGGATTGAACCCACGGCCCTCATTTTCAAGGTAGTTAACAGTAGTTCTAGCCTACTTGAATACTCTTCAAAGCGGAGGTAAAGCAATAGGATGGTAATTATACCTTAATCAAGTTATAAACATAAATTTTCATTTTTACCGGTGCTGTAAGCAACATTTCATTGCACACACATTGAAAGGTAGAGTCATGACGCTGCTCTTCACACACTTGAACTTCCGGTATGCGTCAAAAGGTGTCATCCAACATGCCTTCATGTCGTTTGACATTATCACAACTTGAACCAACAAACATATTCCAGTCAAAGACCACAAATAGTTTGAGCTCTGGAAGATTTAAAGTAAATGTCACTTCAAAAGAACATAAACCATGATGCTTAACTCTCAATTGCATTGCGAAATATTGTTGTTCTTTCATCTTCATTTTTTTAAGAAACATTGAATCTCTTTAAGATAACAAGACCATTTCTGCCACTTTACTTTATGAAATGTCTAAAATTATATTGCGTTTATTAAAAAGAATACGCCATCAAATGATTGAAAGAAACAAAGCACTCCTATTATTTAAGACGCTGATTTGCTTAAATATAAGAACACAAAAATATACGAATATGCGAATAATTTATATGCATTTTGATCTCGATTCTAAATAATAACTTTAAGTTTAAATTTCTAAATTATACTAGTTTCAGTCATAAAAACAACCTTACCTTCATTTCTGTCATACAGTTTGTCAAGACTAAAGTTGAGTGATCAATTGAGATACAAATTTCAGCAAACCATAACTCACACAATTGTTTAGAATCGTCATAGCAACAAGGCGACAGGCTGTTATAAACGAGAAAAATGTTTATTGTGACTCGATCTGAAACAAAACTTTTGACATTGGTCCCTGAAAATACAAAAAAAAGAACAGAAAAATGCGTGTTTAATGAGATATAACGGATGGTGGCTTAAGGGATAAAATTGTTTATCTGCAATCTAAATACATACGAAACAACCTTATTTTACTAAATACAGATAACGCCGCATAAGAAACTTCTGTCATAACGGAAAAAAAAAACATTAAAAACTTTTTTAACAAACAAATTGAAAATTACTAAGAAAATTTTGAGGAACTACAGTTTTACAAAGTGCACAAAATTGGAGCCAAAACGGTCGTCAAAGTTGAAAAATTGTAGCCAGGTTTTCATTTTTCAAGAAATGTGAATTTGTACATAAAAATTAAGAAGAAAAACAAAACAGAGATAAAACTATTTTGTGCATGAACAATTTTCTTAAGAGGTAAATACTTAAAGGCAAAAACTCAAGGAGGCAAAGCATGGCAAGCTTATGCTAGAAAGTTTACGAAGGAAATGGATGAGGCCAGATAAGAAGTCAAGGAAGATGAACAGAACATTTCTTCAAAGAACGTAAATAGTTTAACTTGCGGTAAGAAAAAAAAACCAAACAAAACAAAGCAAAAACAAAAAACAGCGAGATTGTAAAAAAATCCCCAGATAATAAATTGTATATAAATGAAAGTAAAATTATTCTATAAAACCCATCTGTTTTGAAATATGATATATATATATATAATGCAATTATAAACAATTGTTTTCTTCTAACGTTTTTTTATATTATCTCTTCAATTTTTAAAATTTATACAATAAATGTTTTGTGAAAATCTTATGTTTCCTTTTTACTGTTTAATGATTTATTGTAAGATGTGTATTTGTATTATGCATAATTGTATGATTGAATGATCTATCAATAAATGAGGTTCCACATTTGTGGACCTGAAGCTGAAAAAAAGAGATTGAAAATTTGATTAATAAAAACTTATTTCTGTGTGTTTTGAAAATTTTAAATTTTAACCAGTTCATGTTAATTGGGCCGCTGTTGAGGGGGGGGGGGGGGGGGCGTGCGCGGTGGTTTGCACTTGACAGTACCGTCCGTAAACAGGTTCAGTCAAACCGAGCCTGCAACGTTTTCAATTTTGCCGTGTTGGGCTTTCTTTAGGTATCCTTATTTCTCTCTATTTTACAAATAATTGTTTTAAACATTTAAGCTTAGATGAAGTTTTATTTACAGACATAATTTCTAGAAATTTAGTATTCTTATAACGTTCTTTTCTCTACATAGATTGACTGACATTAAGCATTTTATATTGAAATCTTGTTTCCTTCTTTGATTGTTTGATGTTAAGTAACTACTTTGTTAACTTGAAAATCTGTTTACTCTATTGCTTGTTTAATATGTTTTTTTGAAGAGCTTGATTAGGTCCATAAACTAGCGTATAAAAAGACCGTGGTCTAAAAATATAGGAAAACAATTAATATGCATACATATATTGTCGGTCGCTACATATCTTCTTCCAATAAATAAATTAGTAGTTTGAACTTCAATATTAATTAAAAGTTAATGTCAACACATTTCTAATAGCATTTATTTGAACGATACAACTTAATGGTTTTGTTTTAATAATACATACTTGCTGCTCCCAAAACAATTACGCAACCCCACGGCACAACTTTTAGGACTGTCACAATATGCCATAACGACAAAAATTATTTCTGTTTCCACACTGCAATAAAAATAATTAAATTGGAGAATTCCATCGCTTATTTCTGTTTCCACACTGCAATAAAAATAATTAAATTGGAGAATTCCATCGCAAGCAATGCAATACACTACACATATATGGAAATTGTAGACACGGTATGTCTTTGGTTATACGATTTGCAACATATCTTACATCCTCTTACATCCTCAGTACCGACCTAGGCAATAATAAAGTAGCTTACTTAAGTGCTGGTGATCTAGAAGTCATCTTAAAACTTGATTTGTTTCAGGATCAAAGTGATGTTTCCTGTTTAAAATGGTTTTTGTATAAATAAATATGTATGTCTTTGTATCTTGGGGCATTAAAATAGTGTAGTGCCGGCCTTAATAGATATACAAATAAAGCTGTTTGTATAAGATTATATGGATTTGATGTCGAAATGATGTCGTGACTTGCTCCGCTATCTCTATATTGAAAAGTTTCAGCCTTCTGTAATTTGTAAATCCATGTCTGAAGCATGTATGAGACTATGTTTGAAAACGCTCTGACGATCTGTTTTATGTTTGAAAAGTTATATGCAAACGTTTGGGTCAAACCTCGTATTAGTGCAGAACAAGCATCAAATCGTGTATCAACAGTGATACCTCTTACATAGAAAGTAATCTTATGTGGACACAATAGATTCAAGATGAATATTGTTTTATAATGAAAGGATTCTACTTATGAACAATCAAAAGATATGGAGTCTTGATAAATCATATCATTATATATCGTCTATACTAAATATTACATTGCACATTAAAAAGGCGTATAAAAACGAAATTAAAAGATGAATATTTTCAGTCGAAGCTAGTTTTCTCCTGAATCATAAAATTTTGAATTTAGTCTAAAATTATTACCAACCAATTAAATTGATTAAAATGCTAGGTGATGTTACATTACCTCAGGCTTGCAAATCAATTTTGCCAGGGACTTTGTGTATAAAGTGTTAATAATATATTTTTAACGACATTGTTACTTTTCTGTAAATTAAAATTAAAAATTGATGAAGATACGATATGTTAAAAGTCTTGCTTTAAATAATGTAGTCTAATGAACGGAAATGATTAAACTGTCACAGTTGAAAGCACGCAGGTCATTATTAAATAAGGTTTGTCGCTAAGATATTACGCTGACTTTTCCTATTTCATAGACAGGTACCAAGTCTCAATCAGTACTAAATCAAGTCATGCCAAATATTTATTAGCAAAAACATGTTAGTACATATTTATTACCAACCATATTTGGTGATTAGATTAGATTAACAATAGAGAAATAACACTTAAAGGTATGAAAATCTATAATTTAAGTAGCATTTACTACTATGGTCCATGCCTGCAGCAGTTTCAATTTTGTCGTTTTGGCGTATTTAAGGGTTTCTAGTTTTCTCTATTGAAGTCTGAAGGTACACAAAGGGCATACTAGTGAATCTTAGTTTTTTTGATGTACTCAACCCCTTAAATATTTTACTAAACACATCTTCTTTTCATGGAATGGCACTAACGTGTCACATTGAAGGTTCCATGATAGCCGCCGTATGAACACATCTGCGGATGTTTCAAAATTCTAAGTTTTACCAGTTCATGTAAACATTTTGAATTCTGCTTAAGCCGGTGCTAGGGGGCGTGGACGGTAGTTAGCACTTGACAGTACCGTCCATGAACAGGCTCAATCAAACCGAGCCTGCAACATTTTCAATTGTGCCGTGTTGGGCTTTCTTTAGGGATTTTTATCTCTCTCTATTACATTTAATAGGAGTAACATAGTGTTGACCTTATCTTCACATTTTACCAAATTTACAGTATTATATATAAAATGATCTGTCTGATTCACTACTGGTTAGAATATAGAACACGAAGATTTTGGTCTTTATAATATGTCAGTTTCTGTCTATTTGAAAAAACTATAGCTTATAAAGTGATATGTTTATTGACTTTTACGAGCTCAATCAGCATAAAAATAATTTAAGATCAAATATATTAAAAAAGTAAAAAAAAAAAAACAAGTGTGAAAAATAATCATAGTAACTTTTAAACTTCCAGAGTTGCAATATTTTGGTTTGGCTTCGAAAATTTCAAGGATGCGAGCACCGGGTTCTCTCTCCTCAAATCTGCACCTGCTTGATACACTGGAATAGGTAGCATTTGTATGCAGTTTATATACTTTTTCCCTAATTTGAATGATTTTAAATAAAAAGGAATGAAATCTGTAAGCTCTTTAAAACATGTAATAGTTGCAAACTTCTGAATTCCAAGAGTTAGTAAATTTTCCAATTTAAAACCACATAGATTTAATTTCCCTTAACAGTTTTATGTACGCGATGAAGTAATAGTATTTTGAAGATGTAAGTACAATAAGATACCTCTTGATCTGACTGGTGTCTGTATGTAAGTACTTAAACGAAAACGAAATAAAATTGATAAAATAAGGAATTTAGATATCAATAAGACAGTAGGAGAAGGTCTAGGTAGTCATAAAGTGCTTAAAACAAATGTAGTACTACCTGTAAACATCTCTGTTTATTACTAAATCGGTCCCTAGCTGATTGTATATTCCCTTCCACATGGAAATCCGCAATCGTTATACTTCTTTTTAGGAAAGGTGATAGCAATTCAAATCAAATTATCGTCCGATTTCATAATTAAAGTGTAAAAGGAAATTAATGGGAGGAATTGTTTATAAACCTATCTGTAATTATTAAATAGCCAACAAATTAATTTAGTCGAAACAGTGGTGGTTTCTTTATGGTTGTTCAACGATGTTTCAATTATTAGATATATACCACCAAATAGTTAAATCTGTCGCTGATAGAACATTTACTTCAGTCTGCAGTTTTTTTGTCACATTTCAAAAGCATTTAAGAGAGTATCGCGCAGGGTTTCACTTCTAGAACTTTAAAAAGATGGTATTAAAGGTAATTTATTAAAATGGATGGAAAGTAATCAAAATAGTAAAGTCAAAAAGTCTTTGTAGGGTCTTCCATATCATAACCACTGACTGTTAACGCAGGGGTCCACAAAGGGTTAATACTTGGGCATCTATTTTCCTTGAGTAAGTTTATAATGTTATAGAAAATGTATTATGTATTATTCACTTTTTTTTGTAGACTACACATCTTTGTCTTGCACAACATCGTCTTCTTCGATCTTGACGGAAATATTAATTATTATTTAATTTTAATAAACTTATGATCTAAAATGGCTTGTTAATTTTAATCCTAACAAAACTTTTTACTTACCAC